ATCATTTTTCAATTAAGATACAAAAGTAGTTGTATTAATAAAATTTTGCAGTATGCTCTTTAAAGTTTGCATTTTCTTATGATTTATTATAATATTTATAATCTAAAAATTGATTTTCCGAAGATCTTTTTTTTTTTTTTTTGTCATTTTCGACCCTTTTTCCAGCACCTAGCCCATATATCTTTAGTATATAACCCAACAATGAATTAATAAAATAAATATTTAAACTAAATATTTATGCTAACTCGATATTTACTTACCATTATTAGATGAAAGCCTTTTAGAAGGTAATATCGTAATCGGTTTCATGTATAAATAGAGGAAACATAAGACTTATGAACAGTTCAATTAAGAAACATATTCTTGATATGAAAATTTATATTTTCTTTTTTAATAGGAGGAATTCCAAGTCAAGCTAACGGTCTTAAATTACCAGTTGGCATTGATGTATCAGCATTCTCTGCTAATGTGGCAGGTTACGGTCTTAAATTACCAGTTGACATTGAGGTATCAGCATTCTCTGCTGATGTAGCAGGGTCATCATTAAAAGGTTAGAGTTATTTACAGTATCTTAGACAATTAAAACATCTAAGTTATATACTGTATTATAGAATATATGCTAATATAGTATTCAAAAAAAAAAATTTCTTTTTTTTTTAAAAAAAAAAAAAAAACTTAGGTTATCAAAATAAACCAAACATGGTCTCAAATGGTAAGAAAGTGCAGTTGTAATGTAGGTTCGGGGAATGTCCTACATAATACAATGTCAAAAATTTTTGCGCACAATTTTTTGACTAGCTAGCCAATAATATACAAGTCATGTATCATATGACTAAGACATGCCTATTTGCTTTTGGTATGCCAATAGGCATGCCCTCAAGAGCATGCTCCAAAAGCACGCCTATGCCCCTGCGCCTCGAACCCCACGCTAATGGCAAGTATATCGAAATTTTAATAACACTTTATATTAACTACCGATGCCTCTAGACTTGTTAAGATTTCATGAGTTGGAAATTATTGATCGTCAAATCGGTATATCGATATTTCAAAAATTGTTGGAGTCACGGGATTATTGCAATTATTTAATCGTTTTTAATGTAATATCAGATATAGGTCGGCAAGATCATGAGAATTGGCAACAAACTATAACCACTGAATCATCAAGAAATATGCAAGATGAAGTTAGAAATTGCAATCGAACATCTGTACATACCCTAGAATATAGAAATTGGGATGGTCAACAAGTTTTGCAAGGTAAAATGAAAAAAATTTTAATATTATATAATTATGATATAAATTGCTTATCTTAAAAAATTTTAAATTTCTATAAATAATTTAAAATTATCTAATAATTTTATCAGAAACAAATATGCCAGGTAAATAAGATTTGAAATCGCATTTATTTTAGACCGTTCAAATGGATTTTTTTAGGCGACGTATCTCTCTTCAGCTAAACCGAATATTTACCATAATGTGATTTAAAATGATACCAAATATTTTACTTTAACCTAAAAAAAGACAAACTTTGAACGGCCTTATGTTATAATAAAATGGATACAATTAACTTTCTATGTCAATGAATTTCGTTACATAGTCAATGTGTCGAGTTCGTTTCATAGACAAAATCAAAATATTGATTATCGCGGTTCTGATGTGATTCGACAAGGTAAGGATAAGAAACCCTTTATACTAAAATACAATAATATAGTACTATAATAATGATACTTATTATGATTACTTTTTTCTTTACGGATATATTATAGATATAAACTCACCACCGGGTAAGTATCTTACTATTCAAAATAGCAAAGTTTATATAATACTTTATATTTACTTGATTAATCTGATATAAATATAGACCCTTATAATTGTACAAATGATTTTTATTCACCATTACTCATCAGATCTGAAGGTAAGAATATAAATTTATATATATATTCGTTAATGTCTTACTTTAATATAATTAGGGGTCTGCAACCCGGGCTCGTGCTTGTGCCCAACAAAATTCAGGCATGGGCATAGGCATGGACACGGGCATAAAAATCAGGCATAGACATTGGCATAGGTAGAGATTGGACCCATTGAGAAAATCTTTACCCGGGTATTATTAACTGTTAAATTACTCGGGTTATCTGAGTAATTTATTATTTACCTCAGGTAACCATATAGCAGCAATTTTTACTCGGGTCCAATCCTTAGACACAAGTAAGAACTCTAGTACCTGGCACTTAATACCCATGCCTATAGTAGTGCCTGGTACTTTGTGCACATGCCTATAATAGTGCCTGGTACTTTGTGCACATGCCTACTATAGTGCCTGGCATTTGTGCTCATGCCAACGGAAGTGCCTGACATTTTTATGCCAATGGGCATGGATATGGTATAAGGCACTAGTGCCTGGCATGGTGCAAATATGCCCGGCATGGGCATTTGCAGAGCCCTAAATATAATAGTATCAACTAGAGTTCTGTAATGCCGGGAACGGTACTTTCAAGACAGTGCTCAAGTACTATTTTTAATAGTACCGTTCCAGGCTCTGTAGAATCAACGTCGGTAATACTTTAAAATGTTCCTCGCGTGGGATGACCTCATATCGCACGAAAGTAAATTTAATTAAGAAAGTGTATGAGAAATCTAAATGTATGCTAGGGCTTCTTTGCGAGAGAATAATTTACCCACGTGATCGTGATACTGTTAAGTTTTATCTTGAGACTTGATTTAGATTGGTCACAATCACGTGTAGAATATCTGAAACTTGGATTTCACCCACAGCAATTTCTACGACTCTTTAACTCTAACCAACACAAACTTTAAATAAGGTACCATGACTCTAGTTGTGTCAACCTTTAACTGTCGGGGAAATAGCTGTCGGAGAAACGAAATCCTCCACTGGATCTAAAAAGTAATTTTCATTTTTTTGCAGATCAATATAATGATAATTTGATATCACAAAACAATCATTCGGACAATGGATTAGGTACGTACGTAAGAATAACGACTCTTACCATAGTTTTAGAGATAGCCAATGTGACGAAATAACAATACGCGAGAATTTTTTTACTATTTGAAATGGAAATAGGAACGCAACGGATCTTTTTCATTAAATATAACAAAATAAATTTTGCTTTATATGTGTTAATCTACGATAAAAATCATATCACTGAAAGAGTTAGGGTAAAGCGGTCGCAATAAAAATTGCATCACTAATAGATACGCCAGAAATAAATAATGACTCGATATTTACTGTAAATAAATAGAATAATAAATATCTTGCCTTATTATTTTTATAGGACAACAACAACATCGAGCGCAAATGTTTGCAAATTCATATAGTATTGATAATTTACAAGCACAAATTTGTTCGATCATTGTACCACCATCAATGACATCAGGTAAAATTCTCATGACTGGGAGCACCCGGAACGGGAAAAACAACTCTGAAATTTTAGTTGCCATGCATCGTATAGATGCAATAGAATTCGTTCTTTGAGAAATAATTTTGAAAGTCCATCAAAATTACGACTACTACTTACTGTAAATTGTGCTAAGTGAATAGCATAATTAGAATTATAGACGACTGTGCATAAACAACGATTAATATTTATTTATCATTATTATATAGATTATTTCCATGCTATTTTATCGCAAGCTTCGATGAATGCTGATGAAGGTAAAATAACAAAATTAATTTTATAGTAATTCTTACATATACATAATTAATATAATCGGATAACTTTCACGTAAAAATTAGGCAATTATTTTGTTGATGATAGTTTAGACAGTATCGATAATATGACCTTTTTTTAAACGGTTAAAAATCGTCAGTCGAGCGCGTTTTTAATTCGATACATACCTGATATGAATCCGTAATTGGCGTCTTCCTTCCAATATTAGCATTTATAGTATTCTATCGCATCTTATCCTTTTTTTTTTTTATAGTTATATTTTGGTACATATATAGGATTTTTTGGTTGTTTTTTCTTTTTTCTTAAACGTTAAAATGGGGTCATAGTCGTATTTAAGGCTAATTTATATCTCTTTATGATTTATAGTTGCGCTTTTTTTTTTTTTTTTTTTTTTTTTTGTAACGCTAAAATGGCGTATTTTAACTATTTTACGGAAACATGAGATACTATAACAGATAATAAAGATACCTACAGATGAAATAAGAATCTTGTAACAAGAATATAATATTAAGAAAAAGAAATTTGAATCACATAAAAGAATAAATCGGGTGAGCAAGTTGAGTAACGTATGATGGATGACAAAACGTTTATTATATACTTAATTCTCTAGTTCTAACTTTGACCTATTCATATTTCTTATTAATAAATGATAATTAGTAAATACGTAAGCATTATACGTATTATATGCTTTTCTATTTTGGGTAATTCGCGTAACTTGTATTTCCGACTATTTTATCAGTGTTCTTTTTGCATTTACTCTATATTGGAATTCTAATTTTTATGTTTTCGTGTTACAAATTTTTATCAGCTGACTAAATTGATAGGTACACACTCACATAAAAGTAAATACTGTATATTAATTCTCTGTGCACACTGGAAACAAGAGATAGGAATCATAATTTAAATTCAACCAAAAATGAGTTATAACGATAATCAACTATTACTTTAGTTTAATGCCAATTTCTATTTATAATCGTAAGTGGGGGTGCTATAATTTTTTTTTTTTATCTTGATCCACAAGATAACATTTACTCATATCCCTCTTAAATTACGTAATATATTGTGCTTCCTCAGAAATATGATATATACTTTAAAAAAAAGAAGTTCACACGAGTAAACATTTTAAAGAAACGACCGATATCGTTACACGAATTACTTATTAATCTTAGATTGGCCTAACTAAATTTAACTCGTGTTGAAATATAAATGTACAGTATTAGAAAATGCAAACTTTAAAGAGCATACTGCAAAATTTTATTAATACAACTACTTTTGTATCTTAATTGAAAAATGAT